TTTGACCTCAATTTCCCCCACCCCCGCCGCCTCTGATAACAACAACACTACAACTGTCCACCAACCAGCAGCGTTTATTTATTTTATTATCACACGCATGTACAGGCTTAAAGATAATTTGTTGAATGAAAACGTATACTCGCCATTTTATATTTTGATATTTATAATCGGAATTTTCAAAAATTTACACAACAGTTGATTAACATAAAAGTTGCTCGACTTTGGGACTTCATGCCTCTTTTGCTTTAAGAAGATACTTGCTCAGTTTAAGTTAAGTAAGTGATAATAAATATGTTGCTCACTGCTCTGAACACAACCTGGACGTTATGTGCACAGGTTTTGCTAACCATATACACTAAACACTCGAAAAATGGCCTGACAAAATCAACAGGTTCATGAAAATCTTAATCCTATTCTCAATCAACGGATTAATCACGGTTCTAGAAGCTAATCGGTATTAAATCGCTGAATAGAGTACACAACCAAGAAATAAAGCCAGGGCGATTATGAAACTAATAACAGAAGTAGATTATGCAGGCCAGTTACGGCGTTTGAGACTATGGCTGGGGTAAACACGTTTTCGGCGGACGAGTACAAGAGTACTTCATTAAGTTATTTACCTAATTTATTCATGGCGATATAAAAGGTCTCACTTTTCCCGTAAAATTTACTAACCGATCGCCTACTCTAGTGTACCATTTGAGTTTACAGTGAGTACCTGAAGCTAACTATGCCAGAGCTACCGACAATAGCGTTATCACCAACGGTCAGTCATACACCAAGTCAAAGGCCTGAAGGCCCGAGTTTTTAATGTTGGTTCAGTTGCTTATTGGGTTGGGCGTTATGCTACTCAAACGGCAGCCCACGCTCTGTTTATTACGCTCGAGTCACCTGAAAGTCTCATGCACGTTTTTGTCCGTCGACCGATCTGGATTCGGGGCTGACATAGGGTCCTTCACGTTTCGAGTCCTCAAAAGCATTCGTGCGGTAGTGTGCAGTCAGTAATAAAGAAAACATAGATAATACGATCAGCAGACCGCCAGTTGGTCATCCCATGAGGTTTTAAGGAATCAAAAACACCAAGATTGACTCCACACACACACAGCGGAGATGAATGCGGATTGTGTGAGTCGCCGCTGAAACGCGTAACAAGTGCATGCGTGAACGCATAATCACTTCTGAATGCTAATCTGTCCTATTCCACATCCATAACGCCATTACCTACAGCAACTGCTAGACTCTCATCTGCAGTGAGGTAAAATAGGCTCAAGTTTCTTCTATGTAGCGCAACATTATGGTTAGGATACTGGTTGGGGTTACAATTAAAGCTAGGAAATGAATGGGGCGGTTTATCAGTGCACTTTATCGGGTATATAAGTTTTTAAAATGGTAGGCTATGTATAACAGAACATATTATTGAAGCAATTTACACAGGCGTTCTGCTGTTAGTTATCGAATTCACACATCTAGGATCTCCGTTTAGACTGGCGGTGCTGCAAAAGCTTTTCATATTTACCTAGTCTTCTAGTAAACAAAACTGTCGCTCTCGGTTGTGTCTATCGCAGGGGTTTAAGTGAGTTAAACCCAAGCAACTGCGATCTTCATACCATGGTTACTTAGTAGAGAAGAAGTCTTGGAAAGCTCGAAGTGTTAAGCAGAGTATATTTTGTAAACAAAGGAACGGAGAATAGATAGACAGAGATTTGACTTGGAGAGCTTACGAC